CAACTAAGATTGAACACAGCACCTTGAGCTGAGCTGCCGTCGGGCGGCCGGATGGTGACTGGACTTGGAGCTGAGCTAGCTGCACCCTCCACAACTAACACTGAAGGACAACTTGGCTGTTCCCCTTCCCCAATTCCCCAATAAAAATCTTAAAAAAAAAAAAAAAGCCTGTCGTGAGGAATTGGGAGGCACTTGGAAAGGGTCGGTGGGTCTGAAGAAAGGATATACTGAGAATTCTAACAGGAAACTAAAAGGTTATGGATCTTACTATAACCCATAGCAACTTAGCCTTAGTTTGTGCCGTGTAAGCCCAGAAGATCCCCTCTTGTCAAAAACTGTTCACCGCTAGATATATTTCTGAAGATTTAGAGCAGGTGTCAATTTGGCAGTTTTTCCATAGCAGTGGGCTGCTAGAAAGTGTCCTGTTTCCTCTTTAATCTCCACCGTCACTGTATTTACCCTCTGGTGATAGCATCATCCACTTTAATCCTTAGGAAGCGCTTACTCAGCTGCAGACTGTGACAGCTTTATACTTCCCGTGGAGTTAACGGAGTTGGTGCAGGGTTACTGAGGTCCTACCACATGGGAACTTTGAAGTGTTTTTGAGTGTGATCTAGAGTATATTCACGAAGAGAAGTATTTTACATGTAGAACATCAGTTCAAGAAGAGGCGCTCTTATTGACTAGGAACAATCTAGGCACCTTCAGGACTGCAGGAAACATGGAAGGGCCTCGTCTGTTATTCCTCTGTCACATTTTTGTTACCTCCCTGTGGGAGATGAGACCAGTTTGCACCTCAGGCCAGCTGCAAACCTGGATCCTCTCCCCAGCCCCGTGCACTAGTCATCCTGTGCTTCTGTCCGTAGTAATGGAGGAGCTCCCAAGGCATTGGTAACTGAGACCTTGACAAACGGGTCTCTGTTTGAAATGTGATCAGGGTCCTGAGTATCGCTTATGGCCCTTCTGTTCTGCAAGAGATAGATCCAAGCCACTTTTTCCACCCTCACATTTCCAATCCCATCCCCACTTCCTTATTCTCAGAAGGAGAATTATTCCCTTATTCACCTGCTGTCTCCACCAAGATCAGTGTCACCCACTTTAATTCCTTCGCTGTCTTCTTACATAGCTCATATCACACCCTGCTTTCCAAAATGGAATGTGTCCCTCTAGTCATTCATCCTTCCCATTTTTTTTTTTTCTGTCTCAGAACAAGAAATGGTAGGTTACCTTTTTGGGGCAGGGTGGGTGTGTTTCCTGAGCGCTTGCCATTTTGCCTCTTGCTTCCTTGTACTCTTTTGCGTCTGCAGTTTCTCTCTCTCCACTAGATTCTTTCCTCATCCACAAATATGTGTAGACCTCTCTTTTTTATAACAAACAAAATGAACACAAAACCTTTCATTGGTCCTGCTGTTTATTTAGATTATGTCCCATTAAATCTCTGGGCCAGTGCTTATCATCCATCCATTCAACCTTCTGACCATCCATCAGTCCAGTCTCCCTCCCTCGCTTCCTCTGTCCCTCCCTCCCACCCTTCCATCCATCTATCCAGCATTAACAGAGTGCTTGCTGTCACCTTATTTTATACATTAAATACCTGAGCCCCAGAGAACCAAGGGAACCAGCCCAGGTCATACAACTCAGCTGTCCTGAAGTGTATTAGTGTTTTCAACTTTCAGCTAGATGGTAGGGTCACTGTTGGCTTCCTGAATGTTAAACCTAGTTGATCCTTTTTAGTTTTCATTTTACTTATTTTGTATAATCCTTGGGGTGGAAGCATGATAGGAGAAAAGTACGAGAGAGATTATGTTTTTAAGACTATGACATACATACATTTGTATGTTAATTCTATGGTTATTTTTCAGATTAAAAACTTTTTCTTCCACTGTGGCAAGCTCAGTAAGCTACTCACATGTCCAAAGACTAATTTTAAAATTGAAATTTGTTTATGAGAGCTTTGTGGTTTACATTGTAGGTTATGCACCAGGGAGAAGAATTGAAAGTGACACCAAGTATGTTCATGTTAGATAACACCATCTGCCCATTTGGGTCAGTGCAGCTCTTTTAAAATATCCTGAGGTGCTGGCCCAAAGCCTGCGTGTTTCAGGATAAGGGGCAGATTGTTACGCTGAGACCCCAAACTAGAGACTTGGTTTGAAGTTGAAGAAGGCTTCAAGTGCTTTCTTTCCTTCACTGGCTGCCCATTCAGTGCATATTGGAGCCTGTGCTCCAGGGTGTTTAGGACACGAGTATAGAGACAGACAGGGATGGGTAAGAAGCCATCTACTGCTGTGACAAAAGGGCCTGAGAAGGCCCTACTCTTCTCGCCCAAACAGCTGCAAAAATAACCCAGTCTTTGCCGAGGTCCATTATTCTTCCTACATTAGAAATACTGGGTGGGAGGTCTATCTGCTATTATAGTGTAAATGTGAATTGAGAGGAGTCATTGATGCCTTAGGATCAATACTCTGGTCTGTTTGATAGATACTTCTGTGTTGGGTTTGACAGCGAAGAAAGCCCTGACGGACAGGAGAGTGGGAGGTTACTACGAAGTGAAGATTTAAAAAGGGCAATGATAGGCTATACCTGTCTGTGTTTAATGATCAAGAGAGTTAGAAAAAGATTTCTTGTTATAGGGCCTTCGTAAGATTAGTGGCCCAGACTAAGCAGCTCCTTAATTAGCCGGGTCGGGTCACTGCATGCTTATTCCTCATTTCTACAATAAATGGAGTCGTCCATGGTCCTTTAAAGTCCATTTTAATGCTGGCATCCTGGGATTCTTCTGGAGGAACTGAGAAATCAGAACTGAAGCATCGCAAGGTGTTTCTGTGGTGGAAGCAACCTGTGAGAGGCATCGTGGGTCTGTGGCATGGGCCACGTTGGTGCTCTGTCACCTGGAGCACAGCTGGTGCCTGGTATGGAGCCTGTAGTGCCGTGCGGCTGAGTGAACTGGGCCCGGTGTGTGTCCACGCAAGGTAATACAGAAAGCGGAGCAAAGACAGGGCAAAGAAAGTGGCCTCCCCCCACCCCCACCCAACCACATGTGACTGAGAGCCACTGCCAGTCTACGACCACAGCTCTGAGTCCTTTGGGGCCTCCCTTCTCTTCTAAGTTCTTCAGGGCATTAACGGGTGGTCGGGACTAAATGCTGAGCAATACCCTTTTTCATAGCGATTTTCAGGGCTTTCGGCCAACTTAGGAACAAAACAAGATGCTGTACTAGCCTGAAGTGTAGACCGGCAGAAAGACGGGTGCATCCCAGCAGTATGTGAGGTGTGCTGCCCATGGCGGTGTGCACGTCCTCAGTGAAATAAACGATGGCTTTGCTGTCACTTTCGAGAACCATCTATGCAGCAGGCTCTGAACCAGGTCTTTCACATGGGGTCTGAACTGAAATGTTTTATGTGGCTGTGAAACTGAGGACCCTTAATAATAAATATATTCTTAATAGCAATATGATTTATGATAAAAATAAATACGATTTCCACTTTACAGTTGAACAAACTGATGTCAAATAGATTAACTCATCTGAGTTTACAAATTCCCCGCTAGATCCATGGTTTGTGAATTTACCATTTTTTAAACTTTCTTCCTTCTTTAAGCAAAAGCTCTTATACTTATTAATAGCACTTCACATGGTATAGACTAGTCCTGTTTCTTCTTAGCTTTCAACCATATTCTCCTATCTGCCCAGTGAAATTACTTGTATTATTAACACGTGAAAATTCTTATGGTCAGAAGGGGTAACTCTTTGGAATTAAGTCAAGTTGTCCTGTTAATAGGATTGGAAACATTTGGTTTGATCGTTAGTTCCTTCTGGTCATTCATAGATGTTCTTTCTGTCTTGTTTTAAAGAAATTTTGGGTAGAGAAAAAGAGAGAAAACATCAATTTTTAAATAATAGCCCAAAGCCGATTCCAGAGTAGATATCAAAACCTTGTTTTTATGAAATAAAAATAAGGATAAAGGTAATTAATTCTATGTTAATTCCACATTCTATATTATGTTATAAAAATATAGTTTAGTTATCCTGTGAGACTTTGGGATATAATTGATTCTTAAATTTCTTCTGCGTAATCATTTGTGACTGCTTAAGAAACAAATTGCAAATCAAACCGGGAGGAGAGGAAAGGATGTGGGAGAGAGCAACTTGAGCAGCAGTGGGGGTATTCACAAGAGGGCAGGGGCCGCTGGGAAAGGCGGGGAGAGGCCACCTGCATCCCCAGTGCTCAGGGAATCCTGAGTGCAGTCTAGTCACATGAGCATCATTGCCTCTTTCCTTTTATTAAGGAGAGTTATTTCTTTTTTCTTGTGTGGTGCACAGTACGTAACAATTGGTAATCTTGTGGACTAGGAAGCATGAGTGGTGGACAGCAGATGCTTGTGTTTTATAAAGCCCTTCTTAACAGGTGGGACATTGCTGAGTCTCTCAGCAGTTGGGTGCCAGCCATACATGAAATGGGATGCCTTTCACTCTTTTTGCAAAACCAGCATTTCTCCAAGGAGCTACTTATTCCTTAAGAGGAATTTTGCTATCTTAAAAATTCGAGGCAGGCATGGCTTTATCAGAATGTAAAGTGCCAAGAATTGGGATATTTCGTAAGCCACACTTTTAAAACGGGCCTATTTGTATACCTTTCTGAAGTTCTTTTTAAGTTATGATGATTTTGTTATTAGAGTACTATGTAAATTTGGAGGAAAATAATATTGAGCAACTCTTAACAGTGTTCTTTTATCCATGATTGTAGTTACAGATTTTTCTTGAAAACCAATATTAAATGGAGAAAACAACATTAAGAATTTAAAATATAAATCAAATTAAATTAAATTTTAATTTTATTACACTTTAATTTTTAAAATAAATGAAAGACATTTTTGGAATAAAAACTGTTTAAGTACTTAAGGTAGATATAATTAGTAAATGAAACATATTTTATGGACATGTGCATAAAATTATAAACAATAACAAGAACCATAACGTGCTTATTATTTTTCTATTCTAGATATTTGAATGGTGGTATTTTCGCAAGTACGGAACATCCTTCATTGAGCAAGTCTCAGTGAGTCACTTGCGCCCCCTTCTGGGAGGGGTTGACAACAACTCCTCCAACAATTCTAACTCCAGTAACGGGGATTCAGATTCCAACAGACAAAGCGTCTCAGGTATTGGAAAGTCCTTCCGTTTTTGCAACATTATTTGCTTACTCTTCCTAAATTATTGTGACTATATGACAGTAAGAATGTTGTTATTTAAATATTAGACTTCAGAAAAAAATGCAGTTGATTTTCGCAAGAAGTGGACAACCTCTACCAGAGAAGTACCAGGAAAAGGAAATGTTTACCTTTTTAAATCTTACTTTCTGTTTCATTTGATTTAGCTAATGATCATTTAGGCCAATGTTCCCAGCTTGGGACTCCAGCCTTGTGGTCCCTAATTTCTCAAACATTGAATGTATCCATTCTTTTCCATGTAATTACGGAATTTCTAAGTAAAGCTGATCACGTAACTCCTCCACGGAAGAGAAGGCCCAGACTCCTTAGCGCAGCGTAAGCTGCTTCTAATTTACCTTGCCAGCCTCTGCTGCTGTCCCAGTCCAGCCCCTCCCCTTTGCGCGTCTTGAACATGCGGCCTTTTCTCCAGACCCTCTGCCTAGAAGTCTGTCTCCCTCTTGCCCGTATTTGCTCATCTTTCACAACCCGGCTCAACTGTCACCTCTTGGGAGGACTTCTGTGATGGGTTGTACATCTCTCCAACTTCACTGACTCTTAATATTTTTATCTTTAGCAACGTTTATCAAATTGCACTGTAATCTTTAAACTTGCTGCTTTATTACAGTATCTCTAGTATTTTGCAGCATTTGTTTGCTAAATCATTGAAACTCAGTGAATGAATGAATGAGCACATGCAAAGCCTGTGCTTTCTCCACCCATGAAAGAAGAGGGAAGAATAGAATTTCCTAGCTTGGTCTCGTCATTAACTCAGTAAACATTTCCTGAGTTCCTAATATGAACTTGGCCTTGTGTAGGTTCTTAAGAATGTTATGATTTTTTTAAAAAGCCCAAGTCCTTGTCCCCATGGAACTTGCATGTCTACTGATGGATACAAAGTGATAAGTGCTCTGACTGGATGAGGGAACCATATGGTGCTGTGGAGAACAAAGGAGTTGGCTTGACCCAAACGGGGAAGTTGTTTGCTTCTTGAAGGAGAGAGCACTAGTTCCGAGACTTAAAGGATGAAGAGGAAGAAATTAAGATGTTTTTCTCTTCCTCCCTAGAATAACTCAGTCCACAGCCCATAACTGTCTACCAGGTGATAGGCATCAAGGAGCATTGTGTGTACATTTTATTGCTGATGTTGACTCAGTGCTCTTCTCCTACACCCTCTGTCAGCCAGCCATGAGGGCAGTGGGCACCTCTAGGCATTCACNAAAAAAAAATACTGACCTCATGGAGCTGAAGTGAGAATTAAATTCTCTAACAGGTGAAGGTGCTTTTGTCATAAACTTTAAAATACATAGGTAAGTAGACAGATTGAAGTGGCAAGTACTAAGCATTGATATTTATGCTCTGAATTGCCAGTGCCGTGTCTGAATGATTTTAGCCAGAATACCCAGTAAGACTATAAGATTAATAGGTTCTTAAATGAGCACCTTCCACTCTCTAAATGTTCTTGTTCCTGCTTTTCTCTTTCTCTACTTGTGTCTCTATTTCCTTTAATGCCCACCGTTACTTCTCCCAACTCTAGCCAGCTTTCTATAACTGGATATGATAGAAAAGTACGTTCTAATTTTTAATTACTGTTGCTATGTAATCTTCATTAAATAAAACCAAATGAGTAGAATGTTTATTTTTATCTCTTTAAAAAACTCAAATAATTTTTTTCACTTATCAATTAACTCTTGATAATTAATGGATTTTTAGTAGAAAACCTTTCTCCCCCCATTGCTTTATGCTTTGTTGCTGGGGAGTCAACAGCAGGGCTACGAATGTACTTCTAATTCAGGCGAATCTTTTTCTCTTAGAAATGTGTATTTCATTGAAGTCTATGCTCAGCTTGTCCCTAGAAACTTACTGAAAAGTGTGTGGTACAGATAGGAGTGTTCATAACTGCAGAATAACACACGAGTACTCTGTTTTGGTGATTGTTTTTTAATAATGGGAAATGTGGGGTCATTCATAGTGTGAAAGGGGGAATTTTGAGGTTTTTGGCCCCTCAGAATCATAGTTACCAGCTCTAGCTTTGTAACTAGAGTTGTTTGATTTTGTTTTTTTAATCTGCTTCCTTTCACTGACTGTTGCGTGAGAAATGACAAATCACTATGTTTTTGTTTTTTTAATGGCCAAGCTAAGCCACTTCAGCTGTACCTCCTCTTGTCACAATTCTGGGCTGCTGTCTCCTTCCATGACTTTCTCTGCTTCCCGGAAAGAGTCCACTTCACTAGGTCGTGACTACTGACTGAGCACGCTGTTAGTCCAGAGTGGGATTACAAATGACAGGCCAGAGGTCAATTTCACTCTAAGAGGGGCTACAGGGGAGAAGGGTGCATTGAGAGGATGACCGATCGGCAGGAAGGATGGAATCAGTGTACCCTTCCACACCCACACCTTTGCAAAGGGCTCATGGCTCAGCCCGTGCGACTGCTTAGAAAGGCTGGGCTGTGTGCTCAGCTCCTTAGAGCAGGCCCTCAATGCTCATGGCGCCCCTCCAACCACCTCCTGCCCGCCTGGGTCTGGCTAAGCCCACTTACTCTCCTGCACCTCTTCCCTTACCCCTGGCTGCAGCTGCGTCCCTCTTATGCGTTCATAAGATTCTATGCACAGGACCTGCGTAAGTATTCGTCTGACTTGGTGGCAATTGCTTATCTACTTTCCTGTTTCCCAGCTAGACTGTGGCCATCTACAGGGTGGGAACTGTGTCTGATTCACATGTCCATTCTTGTCTGTGGTTTCATTCACAAACAGAAGTATTTGTTGAATGAGCATAGGATCTCTGTTCATGGTTGTGACTTTGCTTTTTGGACTGAGCTCAGGACAAACACCCATAGCCTTTTCTCCTAATGACGTCAAAACCCTACTTCTAATTCTGACATCCTTCCTTCTGAAGCTGGAGGGGATCTGACCCACAAACAAATTCAGTAAACCAATGTGAGTATGTGTGTAAAAGCTCTTTAGGTCAGTTGTTGTTTTGGTAATAGTCAAGGTTTTGTGCAACATCTAGATATAAATGATAATGACTTAAATATATTTATAAAATGTAAGGGCAAACCTTTCTTAGTGGGCAACCAGATCAATTGTATAGTTGATATGAACAGATACCAGGAACTGGTCAGGAAGGTCCCTGGCTGTGAACATTCATTTTTAGTGAATATTCATTTTCATTGAATTCAATTATTTATTTTTTTTAAAGATTTTTTT